ACAGAGGGGACAGGTCAGCTCTTGTTCACTGAGCTTAGATACAGCCTTAACCTGAGGCCTCACCTTAACATACAAGGGCACCAGTGATGTGGAATATATCCCTGAAAGGATAGCCAGGCAGATCTCCTGTTCTCCAATCTTCTCTTTTGGCAGACTGATGACGAAATCAAGTTGGGGGAACAACAGGTTGCCATTAGCATCCAGGCTTAATTGGGAACCCCTGTTACTATAATCCAAAGGCAGCTTCTTCCTCCCAAGGTGTTTAATTCTGCTGTGCTCCAAAAGATCCTGAATGTTGTGGAAAGTACATGGGCAAAACAGGCACCCCAAGCCATGTGTAAATAAGTGATACATTAACTCCTCCTCTGAAACTAAGCATTTGCAGGAGAGGCAACGCATGGCCTTCTCTCTTGTCCATTTCAGAAATGGTGCACACACTGCCAGCTTTACTGGTTCAAGTTCCTCACTGGAGATAAACTCATTTTGTTTGTGAGCCACTTCCATGTGAGCCTGGTAGACATTAGATGGAAAGAACACCTTGCAAACTGGGCAGATTTTCCATTGGTTGGTCTGTCTGACCTCAGGTGAAGAGACCTGAACAAATACGTTCCGGTCTGCAGTGCTTACCAGCCCCTGTGAGGAAGACAAGTTAGGTAGAGCACTGGACATCTGTGTACTCACATAAGGCGATAGGAATTTGTTGGGCCCCCTGGATGGAGTGATAGTCATGAGGCTAGCACCCTGAGGAATAGGCAGAGTGACAGGAATGGGGTCCAGCAAGTAAATGGGCTTCCCATTAACCTGTGTTCCTGTCGGAAAGAGCTTCCTAAAACTAGAGCCTGACTTGAGGAACATGGTATTCTGTGAAGTTTCAACTCTCACTGACTGGCTCACTGGCAGGATACTGGGGCCAACAGACTGATTGTGCTGAAGCACAATGGGTCTAACTGGTGGACTTGCAGGAAGGACTCCTGGTGTAACAGGGTGACCAAGCAGAGGACTACGAGAGCTCATACCCTGGTTTACAGGAACATCTGAGACCACCAGCTGTTTGGGGGCCAACAACCCAGATGTTCCCAACGGATCTGCAGGGAGAACCCTAAAGGACACTGTCTGACGAGAGGGGAGAATCTGTGATGCGACTGAATGACCTACACGAAAAACCCTGGACTGAACTGCTTGGCCAGTGGGAAGAACCCCAGAAGCTGCTGTCTTTGCAGGAATCACAGAAGCAGGGGTCATCTGACCTTCAGAAAGGACTGCCAATGAGACCACCTGACTCACAGAAATAGTTCTTGGTGATGTGGTCTGCAGAACCCCATTACTGACAGAAAGACCAGAAGGGGTACCTAGCCTGGTTGGTCTTGTGGGCTCCACTGGCCTGCTTGTAAGCCCCACTGATCTAACTGGAGGACCCACAGGTAGACTTGTAGACCCCATGGGCTGTGTTAATGGTAAAATTCCAGGTTGGATGGCTTGACTCACTGGGAGATTACTCATTCCAACAGACTTATTCACAGGCCTAAGTGGCTGACTCACAGGCAGCACAGGAGGGTCTACAAGCTTATTAGGTGAAATCCTGCCTGAGAAAATGACAGTTGAGGGAGCTGAAGACTGCAGTGTGAGGCTGGTCTGGCTAACAGGTAGAGGGCTGGGGACTAAATTCACACGGGATGCAGTAGCATCAGATCTACAATGGGTGAGGCTCCAGGAAGAGCCTGGGACCCCTATCTGTGGCTGTACATTGGCAGAAGTCACAGATTGGGCCAAAGTCACTGGCTGTACCAGGGCTGGACTTGGAGTGTTCTGTGACAAGGCAAGATGGGACCAAGGTGGCTTTGCTGAAGCAGTTTTGTGTGTAGCACTGCTGTTTGGTGGTCTGGACAAGTCTGCCTGTGGCTTCGGAGCAATGGCCACTTGCTTCAGAAACCCAGTCCTCTTGTTGTGTTCTGAAATCACAGACCTCAACTTATTCTCCAAATTCTTGTGTAGATCTGATGTTAAAATATGGGACATCAGCTCTTCCTGGGTACTCATGTTGGCACTACACTTTTTACAGTAGAATCTTTCAGGTGGTAGAGTGTTTGCCTCAGAAAGAGTAGCAGCTGTTGGCTGCTGCTGGTCTTCTTTACTTTGAAGGCCAATGTAGGTATTAAGTAAAGAATGAAAATGGGTGATCAGCACATGCTTCTTCATGCTACAGAAGGAAGTGTTGGAAAAGTTACATTTTAAACAAGTGAACTGTTTCACATAACCCTTCAATGACTTCCCATTGCCCAGAACTTTCTCTTTGGGGCTGTGAAGTTTCTCATCAGGCTCATGGAACAACCAGAAGTGCCTGCTCACCACATCAGGACGAGAAGCAAATGAGCAATCTGGACACTGGATCTGCAGCTCTTGGTCCACCTCATCTTCATGACAATGATTCAAGTGATTTTTGAGAGAAGCATGCACATTTGCTGAGTATTTGCAGAGGCTACAGCAGTATGGCTTGGTACGGTATCTCACTTTCTTTCTGACAAGTTCCTTTGAAGCAATATCTGGCCAAGATGTATTATAAAAGTACCTGTCACTTGGATCAAAGCCTTTAAGATCCTTCAACAACTCTTTGCAGCTGGCAAGTCCAATATTCAGAAGAACGCTCTTCACCCATGGCCGCATACTTCTGATGTGGTCCAGATTTTCCACGGGAACTTGAAACATTTTTGAAATGTTCTGCCCTGCAATAAGGGAGCCTCGGCCTCAGTGACAAAGTTCTCTGCCATGGGAAGCTGGCCTGTACCTGCCTCCTACAACCTCCCTCACCATGCCCTCAACTCTTCCTGGGGCCTCCTGTCACACACTGACTGCCTTGGGCCACATCCCTTTCCCCTGCCTCCAGTCACACTCACGCCTCCTCACACCATAGCCCTTCCCTGGCCTAAAGTCACACACAGGCATCCTTGAGCCATAGCCCTTTCCTCGGCCTTCAGTCACACACCGACCACCCTAGTCTTTCCTAGGCCTCCAGTAACAATACATGGGCATCTTCACACCACAGTCCTCCAGGCTCCAGTCACTTGCCTCCTCAAACCCTAGTCTTTCCCTGGCCTCCAATCAGACACGGGCCTCCTCACACCTCAGCCCTTCCCCTGGCCTCC